GGCAGGAGGATGGTTTAAGCCCAGGAGTTTGACGTTGCTGTGAGCTGGGCTGATGCCACAGCACTCTAGTCCAGGCAACAGAGTGAGACTCTGTCCCCTCCGCCCTCCCCAAAAGCCAGTTCTCCTCCTACTTTTGTCTCTAGGCACCCCAGGGGCAACCACTCTTCCTAGAATCCTTCCAGAGATTTTCTAGGCATACACAATTATATACCTACATATATTTCTCATACAGATAGTAGCATATTATACACACTGTTCTGTTTTTTGCACCCACTTAACTTTATACCTTGGAGATAGTTCCCCATCAATGTATGTAGAACTGCCTCTCAGTAAATTATCTTTTTATTGAACTACAATATACACCGAGAAAGTGCATATACTGTAAGTGCACAGCTGGATACACTCTCACAAACTGAACGCACCCACACAGCCAGGACCCGGATCAAGAAACAGAACATTAGCAGCATGACCAGCTCCCCAAAAGTCCCTCTTGGGCTCCTTTCCAGTAACTACTCATGCCCTCCTCAAGGGTAACTGTTCCCCTGACATCTTAAGAGACTGGACTAGTTTTGCCGGTTCGTGTTTTGTCTGTTCTTTTATAAAAAGAATCATGCTGCATATACCCTTGAGTCTGGCCCCTTTCACTCATCATTACGCCTGTGAGCTCCAGCCACGGCACTGACCTCCAGCTGGTACTTCACAATATCTCTAGATAAGCCAAGGCCCTTGCTGCTGCGGGTGAGCCCATCCCTTCTGGCTTGTGGTCTTGCATGTTGTACACAGATTCTCTTAATCTGGCCCTCACAACCCTTGAATTTCTACAAATGTTTTTGTAAATGCCCTAAAGAGTCCACATGTCGCCAAAATTCACCTCCAGATGCCTTGACTGATGAAAACCAGCAGCCCTGCGTTGAGGTTTGTGCAGAAAGTTACACAAGAGTGAGGCGGGGAAGGAGCGGCAGCCGTCCGTGCTGGTCAGTGTCTCTGCAGCCACAGCTCAATTAGTCATGCTTTCCCAGGCCTCATCCTCTCAGCTGAAAACTCAAGTCTCAAATCCCCTGAACACGAGGAATCATGACAAAGCACTGATTTGCATTCTCTTTGCAAATGTTACCTTTAGAGTAGAGTCAAAACTGCTTTCAAATAAAGAGCAAAGCAGCTTTAGCCAATACCGGCAAAGGGCCCAAGAAAAAAGACGTGGCTGATGCATTCCTTCTGTTTGCTTGCTTGCTTGTGCCCTAGACCCAGGAGAGAATACTAGTTTGGGAAAGAAGTCATAACACACAGCAACAAAGTACCAAGAGGGCAAAGTTGGACACGCTGTCCAACTTGGGTTGCCTACTTAGGAATTTGAAATCCTAAACCTTCAAACTGGGCCCCCATTTCTACCCTGGCAAAGACAGGGACATCTATTTCCAGACATGAGCTGTTAAGCCGCAGAGCCAGTCTGTACATTGGGGTGGGCCCGTTATCACCGCTCTGCCCGGCTCAGCGGGCAACACGCAGGGCTGCGTTCTCGGCTCTGCCCTTTCAGAAAGGCCTCGCCCAAGCAGCACATGCTGCCCGCACTGGGTCCCGCAGAAGAGGGAGGCAAAGAATGTGTCAGGTGGCGCCGCAGGTTCCATTTCACCAGGATAATGTTCTTCTTGTGTGGGCCCATTGCTTTCCTGTTCCTCACAGGGGCCTTCTCCTGGAGGTCCTCACCACAGGGGCCCCCACATCCCTGCTGTCTGTTTACCTGCCCACCTGTGGCAAATAACCACAGTGGCTGTCACACACCTCTCCGGACTGGTCATGAATTCAATCAGTAATTGTAGTAGAAAAAAAAGTTACAGAAAACCCAAGATAATCCCAAACTCATCCCCTGGTTTTCATCTAGGATATGGAAGGAGAGAAAAGATAGAAAGAAAAAGCATAGGAAAAGAACAGTAAAGAGCTTAGGGGGCAACTTGAAAATAAACCTTATCCAGGTCTAGAAAGAATTTTCCATGTCAATGCTCTATAACAATTTTCTTTGATGAGTAGGAGAGTACTGTATAAGGCATGTTACTTTTTAGTGACTTTTCAACCTGGTAGGTACTGAAAGGTGTTTTATGCTCCTGTAGCCAAGAGGAAGAGGTGCAGGGGAGAACACTTACTCCCACAGCCAGTCAGGGACGGGGAATCTGCCAAGGCCGGAGCCAACTCTCACTCCAAGTTCCCAGAGGCTGCTGCTTCTGTGGACGCTACTGCTGGATAACCAACTACCACACAGTTCAGCTGTATTGCATGCAATTGTATCACATTCCTTTCTGGAGACTCCTCCGAAAAGAGAACAGAGATGAGAAATGCCCATAGAGGAGGCTTTCCCAGGGGCACACAAGCTCACCTGGCAGGAATCTGAAGAGGGCAAAGAAATGGAATGTTAACGCTGAACGATTGAACAGAAGATAAGCAAACATCAGGTGACAGAGCAAACATACAGGAAATATGACCTGCCTACCCTGGGAGGGGCTAGAGTTCTTGAATTAGTCTTCAAATGGGAGGAAGTTCTTGCTGACTCTGGGGTTCTGAAGCCAAGCCTGAGCAAAAAGCTTCAGTCTGAAGTCCTGAAAGAACAGTACAGAGTGCAAGGACTGAGCATTTTTAGAGCTGGTAGAGTCTGAGAATCACCCTCTTGTGAATAGAAGTTCCAAGAGTCAACAGTAGCTGGCAGCAGATAACCTCTCCCGGCTAGAGGATGCCAGAACCCTTGACAGCTAGTGCTGAAGGCGTCGTAGAGATGGCCCAAGGCCGAGCCCTTTGCTTTTCAGATGAGAAAATCTAGGTCCAGAACGGGTTGTCCAAGGTCACACAGCTGGTTAGTGGCAGAGCTGAGAGTAGAGCCACGTTGAGCTGACTTCCATTTCCACTCCTCTGCCAAGGTGTCACTCAAGATCAAGATAATTGGGGCATAGAAAGAAGGAGAAAAGTTATGGACTCTGAAAGTCACTAGTAATCCCATCATTAGACACATAGTTCCTATCATTTGCCAGTTAATGTCCTAAATGAGAGAGGCAATGCCCATTGCACTAATGAGGTCACTGGTACCATTAGACATTTATAGTAGACCTTTTTTTTAAGTTTAGAACTTAGTGGTTTCATATATATATATATATTATATATTACATATATAATAACATATATGTTAATAACATATATAATAATATATATGTAACAGCATATTTTCGATCTAAACATACACCTTGGCCATTTTTCCACAAAACAAAACAAAACTTCAATTGTAGTATACAGAGAATGATGACAAAATTATGTGGCTTGTAGTTTAAAAGCAAAGCTCCCCCCTCCCTGCCTTCTCACTGTTTACGAGTTTTTAGAGAGTTACCTGAGTCACACAGGTGGTGAGGAAGCAGAAGCCACGACAGAAGTCCATTCAGTGAGCACGGCACACTCCCTCGCAGGTGAGGAGCAGCTGGCCCAACTGTGGAGCTTCCAGGTTGGGGCCAGGAAGAAGATCATGCCCAGGGAAAGCATGGGCGAGCTGGTATATTTTAGCTACTTATTTCTGAGGCCCCTTCAAAGGGCTAAGAGAAACCAGAAGGCCAGGTAGAGGAAGGATGCAGGTTTTTTTCCTCATTGTTTCTGAATATAGGTGAGAACACTGACAGGCCGTGATACTGAAAGAGATTTCTTGTGTTCTATTCAAGACAGATGAATGACATACAGTCATAACCAGTTAGGTCTAGAAGGACCTCAGAAGTCACCTAGTCTAGCATCTTCATTTTCTAGATCTGAAAATGGAGGTCCAGATAGATTCAGTAACTCAATTGAGGCTAGCACAAGCTCTCAAAGTGTGTTTTGCCAACCTCTAAAGTATGTATTGGGAGGGAGGCTCAGACAGTATTCCAACAGGTCTATGGCTCTTTCAAAATGAAAGTTATACAAAAATGTGTGCAGAGTATTTCTCTGATAGAGTTCAATCTACGTGAATTAACTTGAAAATGAAGATTTTAAAATGTTACAAATATAACAACTATCCAGTCCTCCAAGAGTGTTTATTCAGAGTGGGTAACAGGTGTGAGCAACTTAGGGATGGCTCTTTTGCCCTCCCCAAGGTGGGAAGACAACTGAGAGCCTATACTTTTCTGTGATCTTCCAGTCCGATGACAACGGTTCACAAAACCAAGTCTGGCCAGCAATGAACCCTTGGCTTCTGCAAAGTGCTTCAAGCCTAAAGCTCAAACTGCAGCAAAATCTCCAGAGAGCACTGTCCTCTGGTCAGGCCAGAGCACATTTGTGAACATTTTCAGACCATTTGATGAATGAGCCCAAATCCTTGGTGCATAATTGGGACTGCTGCCACCACTCCAGAACGATGGCTACCATTAATTGAGCACTTACTGTGTTCAGTGCTCAAGACCTGCCACCTTGTTTCCATCTTGACAATAGTGAAGCACAGCAGGGGCTGTGGTTAGGAAAGCAAAAGGCAGCCATGGCCCACCTGGAAACTTGCCCAAGGCCACGAGGCAAGTAAGTGGCAGAACTGGATTAAACCCACCATTCTTTGACTCTAACACCCCTGCCTCCTTTGTTAGGGCCCCGGCACCCCCAGCCAGGCTGAGTGACACACATGGACCCATGTTCCAGATTTTGTTCTTGTCAAGAGCTCTCTTGATTCCAGTATTGGTTTGGAGGTGCCCGTTTTCTGAAACTTCATGTTTGTCATGCATACATGTGACTTCCTTAGATTTCTCTGCAAATTTCCACCAAATAAGACCATATGCACTTCCATGGCAACACTGCAACACAAACATGGTGTAATCCTTGTCCACTGCAGTACACAACTTGAAAGGATTTTTGTTTTGTTGTTGTTGTTTGTTTTAAATAAAAAGGAATTGCATATGTATACAGTTGAAACAAATCCCATGGCAACAACTAACAGACATAAACTCGGGTTCTTTTCCTTTCTTTTCCTTCTTTTTTGCAAGGGATTGGTTTTAGAACATCAGAAACTGGGTTGAAACACTTGTGACTAAGCGGGGCGCCAATTGGGTGACCGATGAGCCGCCAGCCTGCGCGGGGCTCCTGCGAGACAAAGGCCACCGCCCGACGCGCGAGCGCCAGCCCCAGCCCGGGAGCTCCGGCTGCCAGCGCTTGACGCACGCGGAGACCTCAGGCCTGGCCTTGTGGAACCCGAGAGCGGCTCGGCGAAGCCAGGTCAGGTCCCCGCGGGAGGCCGGGCGCGACTGTGTGGCTGCGTGGCGAGAGGGGCCTCTCGGCCGGCCGGGCAGCCCCCGCGAGGGGACGCGGGGAGGTCCCAGCCCCGCCATCGCCGCCATCGCCGCGCTTCCTCTGCGCGCCCCGCTCCTGCTGCCCTCCCAGCCACCCGCCCAAGGCGGCATTGCTGTCAGCCACCTACCTGTACAAACGAAAACCTCCAGCGTCACGAAGGGTAGTTAGCACCTGGCCTAAGCAGATGAGCTAGGGGCAAGTGAGGGGATTTGAATCCAGGATTTTCCAAAATTTTGTTTCACTCTACTTCCTGTGGCGCCTCGGCCTAGAGCCCTGTGGAACGTATCTGTGCCTGGGATCACTTAACCTGAACCTGTGCGGTGACTCCTTCCCGCAGCAGTCCCTGGGGAAGTGCAGCTCCCGGGGGAAGGGCTGGCTTGGGAGGTGTCTGCTGCCCTGGGTGATGTGGAAAGGGCTCCTTGGTCTGTCTGCCGTCCCTGGTTCGCCCCTGTCTTTCTCTCTCCTCCCCAGAGCCCCAGCTTTTTAAGGCTTCATGTGTACCAACAGATGGAGATGCACTGAAATGAAGAAATTCTCAAGCGACTAGGTGACTGGGATTGTGCAGCGATTTGTTCCCTATCTTGTAGCCGAAGGCCCTGCACTAGCTAATGGAAGGGGAGGAGGAATTTCACCGGGTAAATGTCATATTCTGTGTTTCCCAGCCAGGAACTGAGCGAAACACGCTTCCTCATTGAACTTGGGCTGAACTAGCCAATGGTCTTCTGAGGTAGTGGGGAGGAGGCTGAAGGACAGCCAAGTGGTGGTAACAAGAAAACCTACTATTTATATGGAGTATTCACTAGGTGCCAGGTGTGCTGAAGAACTCTTTATAACACTGTCTCCTCACAAATCCAGCAGGCAGATAGTATTATTCTTGCTTACCACGTGAGAGATCCAAAGCTTAAGAGCAGTGGCAGAACCTGGGCTCCACTCAGGGCTTCTGACTCCAGAGCCTGTCCAGGAGTTATTTCCCCAGGGAAGGTGGTGGGGCTGCCCAGTGGAGAAATAGCCATAAGATTGTGCCAGGAGAGATCACATTATTCCTCAGGCTCTCATGCAGACTCGAACCCCCTTTAGAATATGGAGTGGGAGAGGCACAGAAACATCCCCCTCCTCCTTCCTTGTCCAAACCCAAAGAGGGGAACTAAGTTTCAGTCAGGAAGGCTCTCTGTTGAATCAATTGTTTTTTGTTTTCAGAACTAAAGTGGAAATGACCCAGTAAGGAAGGAAAATAAGCACGACCTACCCTGGTCACACAATTGAAATACATACCCAAGCCAAAGGTACATCACTCCTCCACCCATCCTTTCAGAGAGAGAAGGGCCCTTTTTGACCCACAAGCCTATTAAAGCATTCCACTGGGGAAGTCCCTGCCACTTCTGAAGGGACACTGTGAGAAACCTTGTTCCTTAGGATGCAGTCACACAAAGGGTTTTGTGCAAATACTGAGCCATTATTCTATAAATGCAAAGAGGCATTAGGGATGGTATGTGAACAAAAGCTGGACAGAGGATGCACGCCCAGATGCTGTCTTGGCCAGGTTGCAATTCGAATGATCTAATGTTTTCTGGCTCCTTCTTGCTTTGCTTTTCCAATTTGGTTTGAATATTTGCATTACTGTATTATTTTCCCTGTACAAATGCTGTTGTCTGTACACAATTAGGTCATTTTCATAGTTGGGTGAGGTGACACTTCAGAAGTGAGATGAGCTACAGCTGGTAGCTGGCTTCTCCCTGGGATGTGCATTTAGATCTCCTTCCTGTCAGTCTCAAATATTCTACCTGCACCCAGGATCTGAAAGTTTTCATCTAATCATCTAAGAAAGTGGAATGAACCACAACATCCCCTGTAATGGTGAGTAAGCACATCTTGTTTCTATAAGTTTGGGTTGATTTGTTGACCTAATCACACTCTTCCTTGGGCCAAATCTAACCCCATCTTGTTATGTTCCAGACAGAAGAAAGGGCTGTTTTCCAGCAGCCTGTGGCTAGCAGTCTGTGGAAAGTCTGCTGAAATAGACCCTGGGCAAGGGAGAAGGAAAGGGAAGTTATGAAGGGAGGAAAGGTAAGCTGCCCCCTGAGGTGAGCCCAGAGATGAGCATAGCTGTTCAAGCCATTATAGAGGCTGGCCTTTGAACAAGGTCCTTGAAGACTGACAGGAAGAGAATCCCAAAAGAATGGAGGCTTATTTTGCAGATGAAAGCTGATTAGGGCCATGTTCACAAAATGTTATGCAACCCCTCATGGATGTAAAACCTCACTGACACATACCCCACTAATCCAGCTCTCTCAATTATCTGGAATTTGTGGCCCTTTGGGCAAAGCCAGAGCTGAAGTTTACTTTTGAGCTATCTCTGAAAGTACAGTTGGGCTAAACAAATGGAAAGGACAGGCTGTGATTAAAGTAGCTGGAGAAGACCTTGATTCTTAAAGTGCTTCATAATCAGACATGACCATACCCAGCTCACTGAATGACCCATTAAGGACAGGGCTATCTCTCTGGCTCAGACTCCTTGTTTCCTGCTTGCTTCCTTTCTTGGTACCTTTGATCTGAATCTATGACATTGACCTTGTTTCTCCTCTCTTCTTTCCTCTTTTTATCCAAATAATTCATTCATCATTTATTCAATAGATATTGAGCACCTTCTATAAGTCAAGTATGTGCTAAATGCTGGAGTTATAACAAGTGAGTGAGAAATATCTGCTCTCAAGGAGCTCACAGTCTATTGTGGAACACTGATGCTATAGTGTGATGGACATCACATTAGGGAAAACCTGCATCCAAGCACTGAGTGATAGCTGAATGATGAGGCACTAAGACTCAGAGAAACTGAATACCTTACCCAAGTTCTTTCAGATGGCTGATGACAGGTTTGGAATAAAAGAAATCAATCGGCAACAAAAGCCTGGTATCCTGCCGCTATTTCCTTTCTGAAGTTTTCCAGAGCTCCACAGTTGAAATCTTCTCTGCTTCTTTCTCAACCAGTTGCACATAGTGGATACTCACCCATTCCCCAGCACTGATCCATTCCTACCTCAGTAGAATTCATATCTATCATGTGATCCTACGTCAGTAGATTTCATGTCTAAAGCTAGACAACTGCCCTATCTCCCTCTAAGGATTTATGTGCTAATAAATTGAGCCAATAGATGTAAAAGTTCTTTGAGAGCTATACTTCAATATAAATCCAAGTACCAAAGCATTTATCTAAGTAACATATTAATTTAATCAATGGATCAGTTAAGGGATCCCTCATTAATGAATACTGTGTTCTATGGAGCTAAGGTATGTCTTCATGGCCTCATGGCTCCATCCCTAAAGAATTTCTGGACAAGTTGGTGGTACAAAGTTAAAGAGGGAAGAAAGCAGGCATTTATTAAGTACCTATAACGTGCTATGCATTGTTCTATCTGCTCTTCCTTACAGTATCTCACAATAATCCTCACAACCATCTGGGAGGTAGTCAATGTTTTCTTCAATGTTTGGAGAGAATGTCCTCCCCCAATCCCTGTCTGTTCAAGCACAATACAGCGTAATAGCTAGAAAGCCTTGGACCAGGGCTCCAACTGAATTTGTATCCAAGCACTGCTAATTACTTTTTGTATAACTCTGGGAAAATTACTCAAATTTTCTGTGTCTCAGTTGTAAAATTGGGACAATAAGAACAATACCAATTTTATGCTTTGATGTAGGGATAAGGCAACCATACATGTGAAGTACTTGCCACAATGGCTTGTCCAGAGTAAGCACTAGATAAAAGTTAGGTATTATTATTATTATCCAGCTCCAAGCCTTTTTATCTGCAAAGCCTTCCCAGATCTCCCATCAGAATTGGTTTCTTTTACCTCTGTACTCTTACATCACAGTGGGCATGGCTCCTATTACATTCTTATGTGTACCTAGTTATTAGTGTCTGGCACAGAAAAAAATAATAAATGGTGATGGTTGGATGACTGTCTCCCAGAATGAAATCAAATGCTCATACAAGGTAGAAAGTACTGTGATTCTAGCACTAAAGCAGAGAAAATACTTGAATATTATAGATAAAAATATACTTTTAAATGCATAGCCAACTCTCATGTAAATTAGAGAAATCTCCATGGGGACACACACACACACACACACATACACACACACACACACACGGGACTAGAGTCCAGAGTGGTAAACTCCCACCAAAGCTATCAATGAAGCAGAAGTCTGTCTATCTCATTAACTTTGAGGCTTGGTTTTAAGGATGTTATGGAGAATAGGAGGCAAGGCTCAAAAGAGAGAGTTGGAACTGAGATCCCTGAACAAAAGTGAGACTTGCAAAAGGATATGTGCTCAGTAAAATGGTAGGGTAGGGGGAAAAACCCCTGCCCATCTGCAATGAATAAAAACAAGGAAATATTGTCTGTCTTGGTCTGGGCTCATAAGGTGTTAAAATCACAGATCTCCCCTCACACTGGTTTACAGTTTGAATCTATACTACCTGCATGATTGGGGAAACTTAAGCTGAAAAAATGAGCTTAAATTGGTCCCAAGTTGGTAGCATTTCAGGATACCTGGCAGAAGCAGATCTTCTCTGGAGAGATAGTTACCCAAGACTCTTAGGAGTCTAACAAACGAAGCCTCATTGAACATGAGATCACAATCTAAAATTACAAAACACACTAGAAAGCAAGCTACCATGAGTGAGAGCCAGCAGAAACCACAATGAACAGAATTGGATCTTATAGAACAGTTATCATACATAAATTGTTTAAAATATTTAAAGAAATAAAAATAATCAAAAGCATAAAAAATAATAACTACCATCTAAAAACACCAGGCAGAATTAAGAAAGAACCAAATAGTACTTATAGAAATAAAAATATGTATAATAATTAAAGTTAGAAACATAATGAAAGAGTAAAAGTAGAGTAGATACAAGTAAAGAGAGAATTAGGGAACTGGAAGACAAATTTGAAGAGATTACTCAGGATAAAGCAAAAACGTGTGGGGGGAGGGACAAATAAATGAGAAACATGAGATGTTACAGGGGTCAGGAAGAAAAAGAGTGTGAGATAGGCAATATTTAGGAAAAATGGCTAACATGTTTCCAGAATTAAGGACAAGAAACAGAACTAGTTTAATTTTTGAATCTAAAGCATCTAACAAGTTCCTGGTACATAATACATTCCCAATCAGTGTTTGTTAAGTTGGATTGATACAAATGATCTAGTATTTGCTTGTCCTTTACTTCATACATTTATTTATTTTAAAAAATATTCACCAGAAATACAGTGGTGAACAAAACAGACAAAGTTCTTCATTGTCTTGTCTTCATTGAAATTGCATTCTGGGTGAAAATGACAAATAATAAACAAGTGAACAAATTAAAATTTGAGATACTTTTGGGTTATAAGAAGTGCTATGAAGGAAATAAAAGGGCTAGTTAATAGCAATATTGGGAATGGGATTTCACTGAAGAAATGAGACCTCGATGATAAGAAAACAAGTGAACACATTCTATTAATAAGTGACAATATAGCAAGTACAAAGGCCCTGAGTGAGAAATCACTTGGCATTTCTGAGGAAGAGAAAAGAGGCCAGTGGGTCTGGGGCTTAGTGAACTACATGGAGAATGGTATGAGATGTGTTCTGAGAGCTGGGCAAGAGCAATGGGACTGTTTTCTGAGAGCAGCAGGAAATCACTGGAGGGTTTTAGGCACAGGAGTGATGCACCCTGGCTACTCTATGGCAATGGAGTATAGTGGGGCAAGAATGAAAGCAAGGAGACTTGTTAGTGATTTCCATTGTCCACACAAGGGACAATAGCCGCTTGGACCAGGGTGATAGCCATGGGTATGGAGAGAAGTGGATGGATTTAGATATATTTGGGAAGTAGACACAGTGTATTGGAGGGAGAAGTGAAAGGTGAAGAAAAGAAAGGAGGGATCAAGTATGATTCCTAGTTTTTTTGATTGAGCAACTGGGTAAATAGTGGTGCCATTTTCCAAGATGGAGAAGAATATAAGAATAACACTTGGGGTGGGGGGTGAGAACATGAAACAGTTCTGTTCTGGACATGTTAAGTTGAGATACTTATTAGAAGTCCAAATAGACAGCTATATGTGAGAATCTGGAGGACCTTAGGGAAATAAGCCCCAAGCCAAGGAATGCTGATATTATGAGGCTTGTGTTTCCTTTAAGATCTACCTGTGGTGTACGCTTGTACAGGGCTGCTCATACGAGCCTGACCACTTCCAGCTACTGACTCTGAGGGAAAAGGGTCAGTGTAGCCCCTAAGGTTCAGGAGGCTCTGCCTGACCCCCTGCCCAACCCAGAAGTGGTGCGTGGGTTCTTCCAGGCCTAACCCCGAGGCTTTTGGTAGCTGCTGTAGTTTTAAGCCAAAGTGCTTTCTGAGGGATGCCAAAAGACTGAGTACAGAAAATAACTCAGTGACAAACCCAGGCGGCTCTTGTGTGGGAAGGGTGGAGAAGTCATCATGTAATCTGGCTCCCACCCACTCCCGCCCACCAGCTGAGAGCATTGTATCCAAGAGATCCAAGGGAGTAGAGTCAAGAATATGACGCGTCAGGAGGTACAATGAAAAAGGAGATCCCAGCATGAGGTAATGACCGAAAAATGCCATGGCCCATTACATAAGCGAAAGTGAAACCTGAGGAACAAATAAACGAAGGGTATCAGATTGATATAAAAATATGAGGAGCTCACTCTGTGGTCGCTGACATACATCATTGTGGAAACAAAATCATGTCCAAAATGACTACGGTTAAACTTGGAACCACATGACAGGAGCTTTAGGAAGTTACAAAAGAATCAAAAAATAACTTGAACAAAGTAGCATTCTTCTCTAGGGTTAGGGCTCTGAGAGAAGGGAGAAGCATCCCTCTGAAAAAAAAGGGACAATTCACAGGAAATCAAGTAACTCAAGGTAGTTCATATTAAACAAGGAAACTTCTGCCTTTGGAAAGCACTGGTAAATTATCTGACATTAGTCAGGATTCAGCTCTCAAACCCATTCGATTATAGTAGGATAGTTTTCTTCTCAGCTATATCTATATTCATATCCACTG